TAGTTTCTTTATCTTCTTCACTTGCGTTCCTCCACCACCCTCAGTACAGTGTTAAGTAATAGCCATGTTAATGGATATTTCTTAATTTCCTTAAAGTGCTGCAGAGTGGGGGCATCTGGATGGCTCAGTCGGTTGAGCGGCTGCCTTCCGCTCGGGTCATGATCGCAGGGTCCTGGGATCGAGCTCTGCGTCGGGCTCCCTGCTCAGCGGAGAGCCTGCTTCTTCCTCTCCCTCTGCCTGCTGCTCTGCCTACTTGCGGTCTCTCTCCATCTCTCTAATAAATAAATAAATAAAATCTTTTAAAAAAAATGCTGCAGAGTGAATAAACATTTTATAAGCTAAAAACAAAATAGCCTTATCCTCTGAAAACTTAGATCCACATACTTGCCCTTTAAATATGAAGGGAAAGGGGACGGGTCAGGTAGCTTTCTTCTGTAAACGTTCCTGTCATGTCCTGTGTATACTTTTGTTAGTGTTCTTACTGCAGTACGTTTGCACTGCTTCTCAAACTTGTACACATCCAGCGGCAGAGGAAGTTGTAATAAGACTTACATACAACCTGCCGGATACTTTGCATCAGTATCACATCTAGTATTTTAGCCTTAAATACATAAAACTTATATTTGAGTCCATAGAAAGGGTATAGTTGATCTAATATAAAAACATTTTATTTGTCCTGGGATAAAATTGATCTTTGTCAAAGATGATAATGTTTATTGTGAAATTTCAGATTTTCTCCGTAAGCTGTCCTGTTTTGTTCTCCAGACATCTGTGTACCCAACTTCGATAAATAGTAAGCAGTTTGGTGTCAGGAACTAGGTCTTTCATCTCTGGAATCCCAGCATTAAACATAGTATCTAATACCCAGTAGATGTTTACTGTTTATTAAAAAAAAAAAGAATGAATGAACAAAAGTTCAGTTTTGGAATAATAGTGTTAAATGTTAGCATTGTTAAACATTTTAATTGTAGATATTTTTCTCATAGAAATATATAATGACACTGTGAAAGTCATGCATTTTTAAAAATCATTTTCTGGCCTATACAATATAACAAAACTTTAAAAAGAAATGTTTTATAGACCTGCCTGCGTGGCTCAGTTGGTTAAGTGTCTGTCTACCTTGGGCTCAGGTCATGATCCCAGGGTCCTAGAATCAAACCCTGCATCAGGCTCCCAGCTCAGTGAGGAGTCTGCTTCTTCCTCTCTTTCTCCCCTTGCTTGTGCTCTCGCTCTCTCATTCTCTCTCTCACGCTCTCTCAAGCAAATAAAATCTTCAAAAAAAAATTTTCTTTTAGGGGTGCCTTGGTGGCTCAGTGGGTTAAGCCTCTGCCTTCAGCTCAGGTCATGATCTCAGGGTCCAGGGATCGAGTCCCGTATCGGGCTCTCTGCTCAGCAGGGAGCCTGCTTCCCCCTCTCTCTCTGCCTGCCTCTCTGTCTACTTGTGATCTCTCTCTGTCAAATAAATAAATAAAAATCTTTTAAAAAATTGTTTTATAGTTAAAAGCATAAAATATACAGGAAAGATCACATTGTAAGTATTCAGTACAATGAAATTTCACACACTCAACTATTTCACGTAACTAAACCCATATCAAAAACCAGAACTTTACCTGCCCCTCAGAACTCCTTCCGTGCTCTAATTGTGTCACTGAAACCCTTTTTAACAGCATTTATTCATTCTGCAAAATCATTTTATACTGGAGTGTGATTTAAGATAAGTAACAAACCAATTGTATAGAGTATTTTTTATTCCAGTGACAGGTTAGTGATCATTACTATTAGCCAACATTACAAAATGTAAAAAAGAAATAATATAAAGTACTATTTTCAGTGGTTTACTTTAGTACTAAATAGAAAAAGTAATTAAAATTATTTGTAATGCCCATACTCTTATATACTATTCAACACAAAAATTATGATAATAAGCATCAAGTAATAATCATTTTTAAAAAGCTTTTGCATTAAATAATTAATAATGAGCAGTTAATTCTTTTGAGCTATTGTGCCTAACTTTCAAATTACCCTGATTTTTGTTTGACCTTCTTTTATTTGTTTAGAGTAATAGTTCTTAATGGGGAAGAAGCCCGATTTTGTCTCCCAGGAACAGGCATTTGGTATTATCAGGAGACAGTTTTTGGTTGTTGTAACTGGAGAGGGCTACTGACACCTAGTGGGTAAAGGCTTGGCTGCTGCTAAACTTAATTCACAGAACAGCCCCCCATCAAAAAAGAATAATCTGGCCCAAAATGTCAGTAGTACTGAGGTTGAGAGCAATATTTTCTAAAGAATGAGTGGGTTGTGTTTGATGTAGATGGGTTCAAACAAGTTATAGCGCCATACTAGTAATGTACAGGGTATTAGGACTTTAATTTCCCTAGGCATTAGCTCATCTTTCTCCATAGCTTATTTACCAGACCCCAAACTGATGTCTTGAACATTCTGCTAATGATTCTAAGAGGAATGAGATGAGGCAATGTAGACGTATAAATCCATCACCACTTCTGGCAAAAGTCTCAAATCTAACTCTCTGATGACATTTCCTTGTCATCTGTTGGGAGGCAGTAGAGAATCTAATTGCTCTCCGCAAACATTCATGCGCACTCACACACCTCTGTGCCATTCCTTCCATCCAGTGATTATGGGAGGTTGGAAACACTGGAGTGCAGGGTGCCCAAGTGGCTCAGTCAGTTAAGGGTCCAGCTCCTGGTTTCTGCTCAGGCCATGTTCTCTCAGGGTCATGAGATCGAGCCCTGCCTGGAGCTCTGCCCTCAGTGCAGAGTCTTGCTTAAGATTCTGTCTCTCCCTCTGACCCTCCTCCTGCTTGCTTGCAATTTCTCTCTCTTTACAGAAAGTACGTCTTAGAAACACTGGAGTGCACAGAAATGCCAGTAACAAAGTTGAAAATTAGTACCTGATAAAGCCGTTTTTTAGGGGGTTCGATTATTGTGTATTTCAGTGTCACCTTGTAAATTTGTTCTGGTCTTGACAAGTTAACCTGCCCCGAGCAAAGAGCCACATTTAAGGCACGGCCTTAAAACATTTGTTGTGCAAGAAAGAATCAATGACAACATATACCACTTCTGACTTCTTAATGAAGCGTTTCTCTGAAAATATCTCAGAGAACACAACAAACCAAGATTTATATAGTTGGGATTATAAATCTGCAAGTCCATAAACTTAATGAAAAGTAGCTTAGAATTTGGCATTTGATTCTGCTTATTCAACTGTGAAAGCAGATACAATTGAAAACTTTTCATGAAGAAAATTAGGAACAAGTTGAATGAAATAATCTGTTTTATGTTGTAGCTTTTTTGTGTTACGGGTACATGGATTTTATTAGTATTTTTTGTCAACCAGGGAAGTGGTAAAATAGTTCATGGATGTCTGGGCCTTTTCTAGTTTTTTAAAAATATGATACATTTGACCTTTGAGAGGATCCATTAACTTTCGTGTCAGATCTAGATCCAAATTCTGCCATTTATGAACTGTTTGGCCTTCAATCTGTTAACTCTGTGGGCCTGCTTTACCTCTCTAAAAGAAGGGACGATATTTAATGATGAAGTCACAAGAATTAAGTAAGATAGTCCTGTAAAAGAATGGCCAGCAGAGAGAAGGATAAATATCCGTTGGAGTCATTGGTTCATTTGTAAGTAGATTCTAATGGCCCAGAGCATAGGTGTCGGAGGCAGAGAGCCCTGGTTTAGACTCTGGCTTTGTTGTCTCTTAGTGGCTGGGCTCAGGGCCCAGCTTTACACTCTTAAGCTACATGTGTAAGTTGGCTCTCTCGGTCACTATCTCACGGCCCGGTGTAAGGAGGGATTGAAATCATAACCGCCGGGAGCAACCCACAGTACCCGGTACAGGGTAGGCACCAGCAAGTGGGAGTGTTGAGTGCCTGGATTGTTCTGAGTTCTGTCGGATAAAATGTGGTGCTTAGTCCCTTTCCTCAAGTAGCTTATCACACTGTATGCTGAGTCTCAAAACTGGGGGAGCTAATACTGTTAATTAGTTTATTTAGTAATGCTTAGTTTAAATAATAATGTAATTAGCGTAAGTAATAATACTAATAATGTATATAGTGTATTTGGAACAAAGTCTAAGTACCTTTTTTTTCCTACATTGGCTGTAATTTTTAGAGCGCTTGACAGACTGTGGAGAAAGAGGGGGCAGGGCCAGGGTGGCATCATGGAGACTGGCGGGAAGGCTGTGCAGTAGTGGGCTGTGATGGGCACCCGAGTTAGGGTAATGGCAGGGCTGGTGGTGAGAGTATTAAGACTGTGCTGAAGACCTGAAATTGGATAAAATAAGTAATTTCACTGTTGCATCAAGAATATTCCTAAGGGAGGGGCGCCTGGGTAACTCAGTTTGTTAAGCATCCACCTTCAGCTCAGGTCATGATTCCAGGTCCTGGGATCAAGCCCCACATCGGGCTCCCTGCTCAGTGGGGAGCCTGCTTCTCCCTCTCTCTCTGCCCCTGATTGTGTTCCCTCTCTCTCTGTGTCTCTCTCTCTGTCAAATGAATAAATAAAATCTTAAAAAAAAAAAAAAAAAGAATATTCCTGAGGGAAACTGGCATCTTTCTTTTTTTTTCTTTTCAAGATTTTATTTATTTATTTGACAGACAGAGATCAAAGTAGGCAGAGAGTCAGGCAGAGAGAGCGAAGGGCGAAGCAGGCTCCCCACCAAGCAGAGAGCCTGATGCAGGGCTCGATCCCAGGACCCTGGGATCATGACCTGAGCCGAAGGCAGAGGCTTTAACCCACTGAGCCACCCAGGCGCCCCATGGCATCTTTCTTTTTAACAGCAAATAAAACTAGGCAGAGAATATAAGCCGAACAATATAGTTTGGTGCCACTGTCTTCATTCTTAGTAAGATACCAACAGCCCTACCAGGCATTGCTCTTGTACCTTCGATGCTCATGTCAACACAGTGACATGCTGAATTTTTAAATGTGCTGTTTGCAGTAACCATGGTCCGTCCTCTCTCTCTTTGGCTGTAGATCCTAATTATCTCATGGCTAACGAACGCATGAACCTGATGAACATGGCCAAGCTGAGTATCAAGGGCTTGATTGAATCCGCTCTGAACCTGGGGAGAACTCTGGACTCCGACTACGCTCCCCTCCAGCAGTTCTTCGTGGTGATGGAGCACTGCCTGAAACACGGCCTGAAGGGTAGGCCATGGCCCCGGGATGCAGATGTGCACACAGCTGTATTCAGGCAGCACGTCCCAAAGAAGAAAAGCGGTCTTTATGGAGCCCAAGGATAAGAGGCTTGAATTAGTAATACTAACCTGCTGGAATGCCCCCTGTACGGGCACAGGGATGTGGTTGAATTAAAGAGCACACAGGGCTTATGAAACACTGATCTCTAAATTCTAGAGCTGGAACAGACATTACTAGTCCAGTATGGCCCTTCTGTTTGACAGGTGGAAAGAGGCCTAGAATGAGCGCTAACTTGCCCAAGGTCACACAGTGGACTCTTGCTTTTGCGCTCTTCCACTTAACCATAAGGTTTGAGGACAGGACCTGGTCTTGTTCTCCTTGCTTTCTTTCCTGCTCCTTCCCCAGTATCTAACAGCCTGTTTCTGGATTATGTATTCTTTTGCACTGGACTGTTTTCCTCACTAATACATGCAGCTTTAAGTACTATAAAATGTTTTATTATGTCGGGTTAGTTATAAGTTCTTTCTGAAAGAGAAAGGACTGAGTCTTGGGAAGTGGGAGGTTTTTAATTGTCACAAAATGTTACCTGTTCTGAAAGCATGAATAGTTTTAGAACTGTCTAATAATCTAGGACTAGTTCCCTGAGAAAAAGGATTGAACGGATGAGAGAGAAGTGTGTGTACGTGTTTGTGTGTTGAGAGCATGTTTATGTTGCAAAGAATATTAAAATACTGCTTTGTTTTTATCACCTTAGCTAAGAAAACCTTTCTTGGACAAAATAAATCCTTCTGGGGGCCTCTAGAATTGGTAGAGAAGCTTGTTCCAGAAGCTGCAGAGATAACAGCAAGTGTTAAAGATCTTCCAGGACTTAAGTAAGTTTAAGGTTGAATTCTGTTAGGAAAACATTCTTATTAACTATCTCCTTGAAGACTAAAGATAATGATGACCATAATAATTTATTTCATAACAATCCAAAAAGAAAACTCTATTTATGCATCAGAATTATTGTGAGAGAGCTGCTCATATCGAATATGAAGAGAAGTGTGCCTGTGAGGGATAATTATTATTAATTTTAAAGAGGTTGTATTCATGTTAAAAGACCAAACGTTTTCTTATCCTCTTAAAGCACTTGTGGGAATCATCAGTTTGAGTCTCAAGAAATTAGATCTAAGGAGGGAGCATGCTAGACATGACTAAGAAAAAGAATGTTTGAGAGCCAAGATTAAAACAGTTGTGAAGTGAACCTCAGCTACAGACACTGGGAACCTGCCTCAGAACTTGAAAAAGAGTAGTAACCATCTTACTAAGTTAGGCTGGTTTAACTTTTATTAGATAGCGGCCTACGTGGACTGTGTCCGCATTACTAGCATGTGGGTACTTACACGATCCACACTAAGTCTCTGAGGATTTACGAATGCTAATGTGATGGAACATTTGCACTTGGGCCTCCCAGAGTATCTGTCTTCAGATCGTAGTCTCATTCAGTAACTAATTCTTCACAAGAGCACTGGTTCCAAACACACACCCCCAGACCCACGAGCCCCTTCATTGCACCATTCACTCCACGCAGAATTCCTCACATAGAAATGAGGTGGAGGAGGTCGTAGGGAGCACCTCAGTGTGCATGTTCTACTGAGGACTATGAGCGAGAGGACGGGAATCTCTCCCACCGTGGCCCCAGCTGTGCTACTTTGAGTTGTTCGGTTCCTGTGTTTCTGTAGGACACCAGTAGGCAGAGGAAGAGCCTGGCTTCGTTTGGCATTAATGCAAAAGAAGCTCTCAGAATATATGAAAGCTTTGATCAATAAGAAGGAACTTCTCAGGTATGAACATCTTGTTAAACTTTGTTCTTTTCTTGCTGTGTTCTATATCGTATGAGGTCGAATCATAGAAATTTGCCATTTTCACAGATCAAAAACAGTTGATATTGTGGCAATTTCATGTAGCTCGACTAATACCTTCTCCCACACCTCACACATACACACTCAAGAACAGATACTTATTTGGTACATATGTTCAGTCTGTCACTGTGGCACATATACAGGGCAGTCCAAAATGTGATAACCCCCCCAAAAACAAGAAAGGCTTTTGACATCTTGGCATGTACCCAGGCTCAGTAAGCCAGGAAACTGACATGTAACATGAAATTTAGAAGCAGCATACACGAAAACATTTCTAGATGGATTATAGATACAAACAGGAAAGGGAAAACAGTAAAACTTTTAGAAGAAAATATAAGGTAGACACAATTTTCTTAAATAAGACATAAAAAGCTCTACTCCTAAAGGAAAAAAATTGATACATTGGTCTTCATTAAAATGAAGAACTTGATTTATCAAAAGACACAAGGTTAAAAGGCAACTCGTAGAGTGAAAGATGCTATTTGTAATATATATCTTCAACAAATGATGCATATTCAGGGTATGCGAAGAACTTCTTCAATCCAGTAAGAAAAAGAGAGCCAAATAAATGTTAAAATGAGTAAAGGGTTTGAATAAGCATTTCACAAGAAAAAATCAAAATGGCTAGTAAACAGAAAAAAGGAGGAAAGGGCTCGTGGCTGCCTCAGTCAGTGGAGCATGCGACTCTTGATCTCGCCATCCTGAGTTCAGTCCCACATTGGGTATAGAGCTTACTTTGTAAATACGTATCGGGGTTCATGGGTGGCTCAGTCGGTTAAGTTGCCTGACGGTTTCGGCTGAGGTCATGATCTCAGCGTTGTGGGATGGAGCCCTGCCTCAGCCTCCACGCTCAGCAGGCGGTCTGCTTGAGGATTTCTCTCCCCCTCCCTCTGCCCCTCTCCTCACTCATGAGTGCACGTTCTCTTTCTCTCTCCCTCTCAAATAAATAAATCTTAAAATATATATGTACATGTACATCTATACATACACACATATATATATGAAGATACGTAAGTTCACTAGCTATCATGTAAATGCAAATTAGAATGACAGTGTGGTAACACTATACCGCCACTTATAGATAAACCAGATCTCTGAGGCAAATTTTGAAAAACCAATTTTTTAAAGATGCTTTAAGATTGAAAAATTGTCCCTTGCATCTCAAATGCAAATAAATATATAGGAAAAGCATAAACAGTCACTTCAGTGAAAGTATCATTCTCACCACTTTTCTTTCAGCTGGACTAATATCTAGAGTCTATTCATGCATGTATTGTCTAAAATAAACTATCCAAGCCATCTGTTTTTGTTTTTGTTTTTTTAAGTTTTTCGCTATTATTTTGGTACCCATATTCAACCGTGAGGCCAGCATTTTCTGCTCGTCTCAAGATTACATCATCGGATTCTTGAGGTTTTATTATTGGTATTGTGTGGATTTCACTTACAGTGAATTCTACGAACCCAATGCCCTCATGATGGAAGAAGAAGGAGCCATAATTGCTGGTCTCTTGGTGGGTCTGAATGTCATTGATGCCAATTTCTGCATGAAAGGAGAAGACTTGGACTCTCAGGTATGCAAAAGGGGCTTAGTCACCAAGCGTGTCTCTGGGCTCTGTTATCTCAGAATTTGGGTGGATCAGATTATACCAACCAAATTAAGGGAAATTCTGTGAGTCATGAATCGGATTTTTACATTTTTGATGTGAATATAAGCAACTTACTTTTCCTTCTAACTTGACTCATTTATGTATTATGAATGTTTTTCACATTCTTGTCTTGATTGTAATCCCTGTCTAAAATATTTTGTACAGACTGGGGCTCCCAGGTGGCTCTGTCATTAAGCGTCTCCCTTCGGCCCATGTCATGATCTCAGGGTCCTGGGATCGAGCACCGCATCAGGCTCCCTGCTCAGTGGGGAGCCTGCTTCTCCCTCTCTCTCTGCCCCTGCTGTGTTCCCTCTCTCACTGTCTCTCTCTCTCTCTCTCTCTCTGTCAAATAAATAATTAAAATATTTTAAAATAATAAAATATTTCTTACAGACTAAAATACACACAGAGAGACACAGACTAAAATACATACACAGGCGTGGCAGTTACGAATACAGACTAAAACTAAACTGTTTAGGTTCGGATTCTGCTGCTTTATTTTTTAGCTGAATAAATTTTGTAGTTAGTTTCTTGATGCGTCACACTTCTTAGCTGTAATACAGGGAGAAAAAGAATTATCTGTTTCTATTTCATAGTGTTATAGTGAGGAATGAAAGAATTATTACATGCGATGCACCTGGTACAGAGCCTGGCACATATGAATTGCTCAATAAATAAAGCTATCACTTTCACTATGACTCTTTCTCACCCCTTCTCTGAAATACTACAGCAAATTTCTGTTACTTTATACTCTGAGAAAATGGAAGAGGAAGTAGGATATTTTGACCTCAATTTTAAAAGAGAAATAAGCTGAATAATAGCAGTCCTGAAAAATTTAGACATACTGCATCAATGAAAGTTTGGAAGAAGAAATACCAAAATGTTATAGCGGTCCTCTCAGGGTGGTTGGGACTATGGGTATTTTGTATTACTTCCTTTTACTTACCTGCATTTTCTGAAACTTCTTTAAGGAAATATGCATTCTGTTTGTAACTAGAATTTTTAAAACGTTATTCCTAAAAGTGAATAGGGATTCAGTAGCAGAATACTTGAGAGAAACCAAAGAGAAAGAAACTTTAAGCCTTAAATTTATAGTAAGCTTTCTGTTGACTTTCTTAGAGCCTCGTGTTGACTTGCACGACCTGTTCTTCTGGTCCTGTTGCCTTAATCTCGATTCTTTACTTACTTTCACCTATTCTCAAGTTCTTGATATAACAAAAGTAAAACATTACATTTTCATCAAAAAAAATTTTTTTTAATTCATTTAATTCATGACAGAGAGAGAGGCAGAGGGTGAAGCCGTCTCCCCCACGGAGCAGGGAGCCCGATGTGGGACTCTATCCCAGGACCCTGGGATCATGACCCAAGCCAAAAGCAGATGCTTAATGGACTAAGCCACCCAGGCACCCCATTTTCATCAAAAATTTCAAATAATGGCCATGACTTTATTGCTGTTTTGAATGCCCAGGAAGAGATACTGTATTATGCCTTAAAAAAAGTATCTAATTTTATATTAAATTTTGAAAATTCTCTCTGTAGGTTGGAGTTATAGATTTTTCAATGTATCTCAAGGATGGGAACAGCAGTAAAGGTAGTGAAGGGTACGTACGGAGACAATTTTCTTTTTTCTTTAATGTTCTTTGATAGCATTTAAAGTTTACAACAACAGTGCTTTAACAGATTTGCTGAAAGAATTTCTGAGGATATAGTTTTCATAGTCTTGTCAAAAAGAGCTGACTCTTGTGCCTGCTAAACCCTAGAAGAGGTTTTAGTGAAGTGATTTTCCTACTGTGTGGTTCAGGGGCTAATAAGATAAAGGGGTTTATAAAGGAATTCAGTGTCCATCTCTTGAAGTAGTATTTGAAAACATGGTCTTCTTGATCAAGAGGATTGCCCTCTCATTTTTGTTAAAATGTGAAATATGAAACATGTATTATGGACTTATATGAAACGTTGACATTCCGGGTAGCAGAGTGAGGAGTAAATGGGGACCTGCACTACTGTTTCGACTCTTGTAAATCTAAAATTATTTCAAAAAAGTTTTTGAAATATCCATATGGTCCTTAGAAATTAGACATCAGAAGTGTACTGCCTAATACTCTTTATAAATTTAGCAGTTGAAAGCACCATTAATCTGACATTCTTAACTTTGGACATTGAGCCAAGACTACATCGTTTGTTCTTTTAGTACTAGAGGTATGTGGCCTTGATTTGACTTTAATTGAAAAATCTGGCTTTCTAACTTGGCTGTTATAAATTAGTTGGTTCCAGAAGTGAACTTCCTGTTTCCACTCTTTATTTTCTCATGTAACGTTAAACACTTGATCTTTGTGAATTCACTTTGAAATAAAATCAACATTGAAAGGCAAAGATATGGCCTTTGGGAATCACAATTATTATGCCAAAATCAGCTTAATTTAATTCCTGTGACAAATGGAAAATTGTTGTTATAAGGAGTACTGGCAAAACTTTAGCTAAATCCCAGCCAGCAGGGAGCCACGACAAGGCCTCCAGCATCAGGGACAAGCAGCACCAGGAGGCCCACAAGAGACTCCTGGTAGCCCAGCGGGCAGCTTCCGTGAGGCAGAACTTAGCCAGGGAGAGTGCGGACAGTATTGAGATTTATGTCCCTGAGTCTCAAACCTGACTCTGAGACCAGGAAGCGGAAAGCAAATAATTTTAAATTATTTAAAGACTACACACACAAACTAAAAAAAAAAAAAAAGAGAGAGAGACAGAAAGAAAAAAAAGCTATCAATTATGAGAAGAAAATTTTTATTTTTTAAATGCCTCTGATAGAATGTATAGAATGTAATGTTATACCTATAACCGAAGTTATTAAGGTATGTAAGCTGCAATAAAGGCCTTTTAATGTGGGGAATTTTTTGTTTCATTTTTAAGTATCTGAGTCTTTTTGGAGGCGTTATACATCAGGTCTGTCTTTTGGTTCAGTGTGTCTGTACTATGGTTTTCTTTCTGTGTTATATGAAAAGACTGGGGGAGGGGGATCTTGGTACTTCTAATGTTATTTATTTTATTTCTATTCCCCTCCCTACACGCTCCCCTCCCACCCAGAGATGGCCAGATTACCGCAATTCTGGATCAGAAGAACTATGTAGAAGAACTCAACAGACACCTAAAGTAAAGAATGAGTTAATACTTCTACTTTCCTGGGGATTCTGTTGTGAAGGAAAGGAAGAGTAAACAGTAAACTGTTAAGCCATGAGGATCAATTCAGGCGATAACTCAACAAAAATACAAATACGGACTTACTTCCTGCTTGCCGGGCACTAAGCTAGGCACTAAATTAAATGTCGTTTAACCGTTTTGGTGACCTCTAGTGAAAGGCAGTATAAGATTAGTATGTAATTATAACTCTAGTGATTAAATAAGTATGTTCAGTTAAGAATTCTTAAACATGTGACACACGTCCTTAGTTCAGTAGATCCAACCACATATTTCAAGATTGAGCTTGAGCAAACCACTTAGTATCTTTAGATTAGTTGTATCATGTTGGTCCCTTGCATTTTTCATTTATACATTGAATTGATGCTATTAACTTACCCTCCCTTTACTATCACTAGCATTAATTTACCAAATACTCACTATTTTTCAGAACTGTCCAGAACATGAAACAGTCTGTTGATATTTTCAAGTATACTGGTGTTCTTGTTATGCTAAAGACTGTCAAATAATTCAGAAAAATTAATATATCCATTAACTATTTTTTAATAATTCTCTTACAAAGATAATTTAAGTAAAACCTATCGCATGATTATACCAGTATCAATATAAATATTGAGTAGTCTTGATTTCAACTAGAAAATTCAAGAACAATTTAAGTGTATTTTCTCTGGGGATCAAGAACTAATAATGACTACAGTGAATTACGGAGAGGTTAGTCAAGCAAAAATAACATTTGATAGTGAAATAAAAATGTGAGTTACTCTTTTCATGTCTCAGTTTCTTTATCTATATTTAGGGATACCTGTTGCATAGGGCTGTTGAAAGGAGTAAATGAAATAATGCAAATAAAAACATTTAGGAAAGTGCTTGGTACATGGCAAGCCCTTGATTCAGGTAGCTTGTCATTATATGTACGTAAACTTTAAAACTGAGAGTGCCCTGGATCAGCTCTTTTGTTTCATCCAGCAAGTGCTTTAGTGCAGAGCTCAGTGCCAAGGGTACAGCAGGTACGATCCACAGCCCCTTGGGACTGTCTTAGAGCCTGCAAGTCCACCGTGAGTTGTGGACATTAGGCGATGGGGTGATACCTGTGATGCATGTGTACACGGGTAGGGCAGGATGTTCTGTTTTTCAGGAGAAATGGTTCTGTTTTTCTCCTCTTTACAGTGCTACGGTAAACAATCTTCAGGCAAAAGTGGATGCGTTAGAAAAATCCAACACTAAACTGACAGAGGAGGTGAGTGTTTTGGAAACTCTTTGACCGATATACAGTTTACTAATGGACAGTAGTGGAAGCTTGTAGCTTGATACTCATCCATCCTTTGCTCATTGAGCAGACATTTGGGTACTGCTTCTGTGTGAGAGCTACACAACGATTTCTGGGTGCACTGATTGGCGTGTGTCAGACTGGCAAGCTCCTACCCTCATGGGCCTTATTTTCTCCTTGGGGTGGGAAGGTCAATAACTTAAAGAGTGCTGGTCGGAAGGCCAGCAATCCCTGCTTGCGTGTCATGCTGCTTACGAGTCACGAGTCACATACGAGAGTCAGTCACTTGACCTCCAAGAGGCCCGATTGCCTGCCCAGCAGATGAGGTGTTTACACTTTTCCTTTCAGCCTCATAGTTACTCTGAAGATCACAGAATATATATGGGAAAACTCTTAGAAAAGTCCCCAAATTAAGAATAAAAATTAACCTTGTGCTTTGATTCTGATTAGTAAAGAAATTTTTTAACTTGTCAGTGGCTAAACTACATTTTTTTCCTTTTATAACATTAGATGTTTCTATGAAAAATCTTTTTTTTTTTTTTTTTAATTTTTTTACTTGACAGATCACAAGTAGGCAGAGAGGCAGGCAGAGAGAGAGGGGGAAAACAGGCTTCCCGCTGAGCAGACACCCGACGTGGGGCTCGATCCCAGGACCCCGAGACCACAACCAGAGCCAAAGGCAGAGCCCCAACCCACTGAGCCACCCAGGCGCGCCTCTGAAAAATCTTAAATGAAATATTTCCAGTGGCAAAGACTTTATCTTATCTCTATCTTAATCTATTTCTTATTATAACTATCCTTTGACATACCCTGGCTTACATTTGGTTTAAATAGAACCAAGTTCAGGCAGCAGCAGGAAGATGTTGTTTCATCAGCTTTCTTCAGAATATTTTCATTGTCGTAACTTTAAAACACCTTCCCTATTACTCAGCTCTGTGGGCTTCACTTCTGGATGTAGATTCTTAAATTATGTTAAAACTTAATGGAAGGATCCCTGGGTAGCTCAGTCGGTTAAACGTCTGCCTTTGGCTCAGGTCATGATCCCAGCCCACTGGCATCCCGGCCTGTATCTGGCTCCCTGCTCAGCGGGAGGCCTGCTTTTCCCTTTGCCTCTGCAGCTCGCCCTGCTTGTACTCTCTCGCGCTCTCTCTGTCAAATAAATAAATAAAATCTTTAAATTAAAAAAAAAAAGTAATGGAAATGATCCTTAGAATTTTACCCTACAAAGCTTTTTAAAATACTCTGATTATTAGAAATGTTGTCCTGTGGGCCACTTGCTCCTCTGTTTAGGCAATAGGGCAGCGCAGGGAACCAAGGTCTCCGGGAGCCGGTGGGCTACCTGCGTTTGTGTCCCAGCTCTGGCACTTGCTAGCTTTCTAATCCTGGCCAGTAACTTAAGCCTCTATTTCTTGGTTATCTTCTCTGTAAAATGGGAATGATAAAATAATAGTCAAGTTTTTGTGGGAATTAAATGGTGATACATAAGGACCCAGGCCAGTGCCTGATATTACCATAAGCGGCCAGTAAACATGGTCATTAATTTTATTCCCTCGGTCACAAGACTTGTCCTCCTGACCTAGATTTATTTTATTATTACCAATATTAATTAATTCATTTATGTACTTATTTTGCCAGTAACATTTAATTTCTTGAAACTTTGAATTTTTAGAGACAGGTAAGCCCTGTGTGTAGGCTTTATAAAGAAGCGATAAGACAAATTAGATCTGCCTTTTCCCATTTCCATCTATTTTGGATTTAAGAGGGCCAGTAAAAAACAAAAACCAAAGCCCCTTTTTTCCTCTCCTGAATTCTGAACCGGTATGATGAAATGAGAAGAATTAAGCAGGTAAAGATATGTAAATACACACTTTATTACTGGTAAAGCTGAATTAGAAGACCCACTTGGATGTACAGCCATAGTTTTCCTGATACTTTCTCTGATGTTAAGGTCTTGGGAGAACCTGTTTGAGGATGTCTCTGGATCTAGAAAGCAGGCACCCTTGTCCCAAGTTAACTTTTTTATGCACTGTTAGGCCCGTGGAGCAGAGAGGGCTTTGTGGGCTTCCAGACTTCCATCTGGAGAGCATGCCTGAGCCCTGGCTCCTCTGTACTTAGGCACTAGAACGGGAACCAAGCAGAACCTGTGCTTCCTGCTCGTGAGGAGATCATGTAAGGGGAGACTAGCCTGGCTGAGAGGAGCTGCTCAGTGTCCTTCCTCCTCTCCTCCAGGCTCTCCCGTGTTCTCTGGGGGGAATCCAGGTTAGCAGGTGCGGAAGAGGAAAAAGTGTTTGCACTTTCCTTTCCCCTCCTGTAGAGTACAGATATAAACGTCTCTCTGAGCATACAGTGCTAGTAGTGTTACCTTACCTGTTCAGGCGCTGAAATGACAGATCTCTTCGATACTTAATGGCATCTTTTAGTGAGAACTTTGAAGTTCCATTTCTTTACTCTTAAAAACCATCTATCAAAGGTCTTACATAGAGTTTATGAGTCCCCAAGGCATGACGTGACCTCTTCATTAAACGTTTTAGAAACAGGTATTACAGCTAAATATAAGTTACCCATGAGAACACTCTTGAGGTAAATAATCTTAAGTTAACATTTTGGTACTGAGAAAGAGTTTACACAAAAAGCAGCAATAGGAGATACTTTTTTTTTTTTTAAGATTTTATTTATTCATTTGACAGAGAGAGGGAGATCACAAGTAGGCAGAGAGGCAGGCAGAGACAGAGGGGGAGGTAGGCTCCCCGTCAAGCAGAAAGCCCAACGTGGGGCTCGATCCCAGGACCCTGAGACCATTACCTGAGCCAAAGGCAGTGGCTTAACCCACTGAGCCACCCAGGCTCCCCATGAGATACTTTTTATTTTTATCTAACCTAGTTTAAAAATACTTTTCCTAATTTCCAATACAATATACATTTTTATGTGATTACAGATAACCTTCTTTCCTTCTCTAAGAATACGCAAGCCTGAAAGTTATGTCCTAGCAGATCATGGATTATTTTATCCTATTTACCCTAAATTTTTTTTAAAATTTTTTTCAACAGCTTGCAGTTGCAAACAACAGGATTATTACCTTACAAGAAGAAATGGAACGAGTTAAAGAGGAAAGCTCCTACATACTGGAATCCAATCGGAAGGTTAACCTTACTGGATTTATACAATATTCCTAGAGAGTGTGTTAACGTGGCAGGGCGGGTGGGGGGAGAGGCTCTACTCTAGGGGACTGTTTGGAAGCATCAAGCACTTGCACTGTTTTTACCGAGATTCCCTGCAGAATCGGGTAATGATGGAGCTTACATGGGTGTGAGGTTCTTCCTACCAGACGCTCCCTGGCTTCACCTCTGTCTCTATCTGTTGAGAAATTTCAAGAACCGGTCTAATTCAGTGTCTTGTTATAGACTCGTGATTTGTACTGTATTTAAGTGTTATGTTTATTATATTGAATATACTATTGTTTTCAGGCCCTGTTACTACTTTGTAAGAAGTGTTTATTTAGTACCACTGGGAGTTACCATGTAAATGAGTTTTCTAGATAACTTGACTCCTTAAGGTATCAAACTTTTTATATATGTCTACACAGATGTTTTTGCAAATCTTTTATGTACTGCACACTCCTAAGCAATCCTAGGTAGAGGACATGATGTAACTCATTTAGCTGTTCATGATGACTGAAAGTCCTAATTACCAACATCAGCAATTCCATACTAAGTTATAATGACACCACTCATGGGGCTGTTGGAATTAATTGAGCTTCTAGCCCCTGTACTTAAATGTTTCCAGATTGCTCTGGGTGCTTTTTCTCTGCTATTATGATCTCGCTGACATCTCTCACTTCTCATTGCTGTCGGTATTAGTGTCTCCCCACTGCCTTTTATCTGCATGCTTCTGTTCTTCGGTGATCTAGGAATCCAGATCGATTGTTCTGCTAGAGTAAGCAGCTAGGCTCAGAGTGGGGACTAGAGTAGTTCTCTGTGAATAGTGGGTTTGACTTTAATGTGTGGGTGTTGTGAAGACAACTGTGACTGCTCAGAATTTTCTGATGATCTACTTGTTTTTAGCTATGATCTCTCTGGATGGTTGGAGACTCCAAATGTGAGATCTCTGAAGAAGGAATATATTACTGTTTGAACCTTTGGCCCAATTCACATTTTACAGTGAATGCCACTTTGTATTTAGAAGCTGACTTTTAAGACTTCTTGCACTTGATATGATAACCTATCTTAGGACTTTAAACAAAATGACGAGAAAACCCAGTTCTGCTGAGAATTTTTTATTTACTAAGCTGCTTCATTTTCTTTGTTGTCTTTATTCATTGTTATACCTGCTTAGTTAAATATAAAATATAATCATTTTCCCTTACTAAATAGCAGTGTCAGCTAACTCTATATAGATTTTTTTTAATCCTTAAATATATGTACTATTTTGTTTATCTTTTCAAGGGTCCTAAGCAGGACAGAACTGCAGAAGGGCAAGCACTGAGTGAAGCCAGAAAGCATTTAAAGGAGGAGACACAATTGCGACTGGTAAACTTAACTTGTGTTCTAGTAGTTCAGTAACCCATTCAGCATAAAGGCCCACTTAGATGTTTGATCGTAACAGACCAGGCTCAGGAACATTAGTAGTGGGCCAACAAATTTTTGTAGATCCTAAAAAACTGTTTCTCACTCCTTTTTATTTTTAATTTTGAATATATTTATTATAAATATAATTAGACATAAAGGCAGATTTTCATATGGTCGCTTTTTATCTTCATTGGACATTACCTGCATAAAACACTCTTTTTTTTCTTTAAGTTTAATTCAATTAGCCAACATATAGTACATCATTAGTTTCAGATGTAGTGCTCAACACTCTTAATCAAGGATATTACCTTCTTCTATAGGAAAGGCTCGCTGCTTATTGATGAATACAGTGGATTTTGCACATAGGAAACCTGTAGAAATTTTCTAATTATCTGATTCAAATAAAATGGCATTGAGGAAGCCCTCTTAGCTAAGTCTTAGGGTCGACTTTTCCATGTCATAATATTTGCTAGAGAATATTGTTCGTACAGAGAACAATGATACTTTAGTTGCTTCGGTGACTTTTCTTTTTTAATTAAAATTTTTTAAGTATAGTTCACACAGTGTTACCTTAGTTTCAGGTGTATATTTCTCACTTTTTAACCCATATTCCCTATAACGCTTTCCCAGTCCACTTTCTGAGTATGACTATTCTCAATAGCCAATGGGATTTTGCCAATTTTTTTTTTTAGTTTTATAGTTTGTGTTACGAGAACATTGCGCAAAAGGAACCTACTGTTTTAAACTTGGTGATCCCCATTCCTACCTCAGTCCTCATCCTGCAAAGATTCTGTTATGTCTCCTTGGAGGATGTATGTGTGTGTGCATAAATGTGTAATAGTGAATAATACTCCTGTAATAGGTTTTAGCCAAGGATTAGTACATTGATACATCCCCGGTATTGGTAAATGAACTCCTCCTGCAGTTGTGATGATCTGAGAGACGAAAGGATCTCCCCCCCACCAACAGTGTCTCTGAAAGTAGGAAGAAGCTGAAAATAAAGGTGATTCGGTTTCTAAAACTTATGACCACGTAGCAGTGTATCGAATAGAATTTCAGATGTTCTGAGCAAACAGGAATATAATTTTAACATCCTTGAATTAACACTTTCCTTCTATGTGTTTATGAATTAGATCTCAAAACACTTTCTATGAGGAAGATCCTAGAAATAACCCATGTCAGCATTTCAGAAGCAATCTGATTGAATCAAGCTAACCGTGCACAGAGGGACACCTCAATTACGTGGCACATGTATCTTAAAAATCTGACACAAAATTTTCCACATGCTTTTGTCACAAAAAGATACCGGTTTATTCAGAAAGGAAAGAAACCAAGCAAGTTCCTAGATACGCCCCAGGGAAGAGAATGGATGGAGAAGGAAATTCAGGTCTTTGTAACTTTGATCCTCCAAATCATGTTGCAGTAATAATGATTGGACCAAAAAGGGGGTTCATGTTACGTGATTATAAAAATTCAGTTACCATATCGATCATTTTCACTTACTGAGATGTTTACCCTCGAGACCCAGAGTATCTTTCGGGCTCCTTGGGCTCTTGATGACATCAGCAACATCCAAATTGAAGAGAATTGCAAGTGCTTCATTTGGCGCTGCTAGCGGAGCCCTTTAGGTACATTTCTGTGATAGAACATGACATCAGTTGTCTCGCTGTAATGAAGTGCCTCAAGTATGTGTGTATTTCAGACATATTAAATAGCACTGTCTCTGGCCTACCAAGTTTTTGGGATTTGTAAATTATTGAATAAATGATCCGTTTTTTAATGATCCTAATTATTATTCCTTTGTTAATATCTCTGCATTGAATGATAGCTTGTAGCTATTTTGCCCGAATATTCAGACCTGAGAGTGTTGGGAGTTTACACCTTTTCCTGTGGAATTTCATAATTTGTCCTTCGTTGAGGAAAGAGAAAATAAGCAGTTTATTTACCTTTGGGGGCAGGATGTGGAGAAAGAACTGGAGATCCAGATCAGCATGAGACAGGAGATGGAGTTGGCTATGAAGATGCTGGAGAAGGATGTCTGCGAGAAGCAGGACGCCCTGGTGTCTCTGCGGCAGCAGCTGGATGACCTCAGGGCTCTCAAGCATGAACTTGCCTTCAAGCTGCAGGTAGGGCCAAGAAGAGAACACACTCACTGGCTCTGTAAACTCCCAGGGTTCCCTCCGTCCCTCTGGTCTCTCTGGAATCACGCTTGACGTACAAGAGGGAAGACTCACGTCGCATTTGGGGGCTGGCGGCCAGTAAACCGCTGCAGAGATCAGACGGCGTAGGATCCTGTGCTGATCTGGAAAGCCATAGCTCCTTTTCAGATTCTGGTGGGGAAAGAGGTCTTTTTTATCCTGTAAGATAATTTCTACACTCCAGCCTCCCCTGTCAACTGAGCTATATGTTCCATTAGCTTTTTTTTTTTCATAATTTATTTAAATTCAATTTTTTTTTTAATTTTTTTAAAGATTTTATTTACTTATTTGACAGAGATCACAAGTAGGCAAAGAGGCAGGCAGAGAGAGAGGAGGAAGCAGGCTCCCTGTAGAGCAGAGAGCCCGATGCGGGGCTCGATCCCAGGACCCTGAGATCATGACCTGAGCCGAAGGCAGCGGCTTTACCCACTGAGCCACCCAGGCGCCCCTTAAATTCAATTTTTAACATACGGTGTACAAGTAATTTCGGTAGACTTCAGTGATTCGGCAGTTGCACATAACACCCAGTGCTCGTCCTATCGAGTGGCCTCCTTAATGCCCATCACCCAGTTACCCCATCCCCCACCTCAGTTTGTTTCCTAGAGTTAAGTATCTTTTATGGTCTGTCTCCCTTTCTGGTTCGTCTTATTTTATTTTTCCTTCCCTTCCCCTATGTTCATCCTTTTTTTTTCCCCTTAAATTCCACATGGAAGTGAAATCATGTACTTGTCTTCTTCTGATCACCTTACTTTGCTAAGCAACACATCATTAGTTCTTACACTGAAATGATAAACTGATGAGCCTCGTAATGTTCATTTCTGTGACAAAGCTGCACATAGCAATACTGATTTTAAATGTTGCATTTTGTTTTTTCCCCATTTGGAAATTAACTGATAAACAAATATATGAGCAGTTCTGTTTCTCTGTTTCACACTTACCATTAGGTTCAGAAAGCCGTGTGTGATTTATTTCAGGATTTTTATGTTCTATGTACATCACTCCTATTTCTTTTCCATAACAGAGTTCAGACTTAGGAGTAAAACAGAAAAGTGAACTAAACAGTCGTTTGGAAGAGAAGACTAATCAGATGGCCGCTACCATCAAACAACTCGAACAAAGGTAAAAGTGCTATTTCTTGAGTGAAACATCTTGGGCTTTCCGTGCTGGAAGGGAAGAGAATGCTATGCACTTGGCAGACAAAGTGTATGAAATTCTCCCAACTTAACACCAGACATGCTAGTAGAAAGCCAGTTAAATTTTGTGTTTCTCTAAGATGTCACTGAAAACATTTTTAAAAATTTTTCTTAAGGTTTCTAAGGTTTCTTAAGAAACCTCAGGCTCTCCTGACTGTTTTGAACAGCAGAACAGTAATCCTCTTACATGATCCCATTTCGGTGTCATGTTGGAAGAGGGAGGCCCACAGGATGAAAGCACTTTTTAAAAAATTTTTAAAAGATTTTATTTATTTTTGTGAGAGAGAGAAAGAGCAAAGTCAGACACGCACATTTGGGGGGTGGAGCGGGGGAGGGAGAGGTAGGCCCTCTGCTGAGCAAGGAGCCCGATGTGGACTCGATCCCAGGACCCTGAGATCATGACCTGAGCTGAAGGCAGACTTTTAACTGACTGCGCCACCCAGGTGCCCTGAAAGTACTTTTAAATATGCCCGCAGTTTTTGTTTTTTTCTGCGTCACCAGAGTGTTGGAACGCGCTGGTGCTAGTGACGCTGGGATACCGAGGGCCCTTGTAACACGTGAACTCCTTTCTCTCCTCTCTCCCATCTCCCTTTTCTCTCCCCTTTCTCCGGAGCGGTTCTGCAGTGTCCACTGTCACCCTGCCCGCAATCTTAGATCTGTCCGTCTCCAGCTCTGTCCTCCTCTGAAAACCCAGTCTTGGGTTTTCATCCTCTGACCAGCTGTTTCCGTCAGGTACCTACAGTCGGTCTGCCCAAAACACACCCTCTCCCTGTGCCGCTTTTGTTTCTCCTTGGCTGAAACCACCTGTTTTCTTCATGGTGACTCAGCTGCCAAGAGAAATGGCCAAGATTTCAAGACTGAAGGAGCCACAGCACCCGTGGTCACTCTGCGTGGCCAGTGTGGGTTGCCACTTCGAATACCACTGATGACCCTTCTTTTACTTGAGCCGCGTGACTGCAGGCCCCTGCGCGCGCCTGCACTTTCCCCACCTGTTCCTTGCCCAACAGCCCCACCGGTTAGGAAGGCCCTTCCTCTTCTCGCTGCCTTGTTCTTCGATCCTTTTTTTACCTTCAGGCTCCAAAGCCACCACCTCTCCTAAGCTTCCTCTGATGCTTCTTCTCAGATTAATCTACCCATTTGTCCTTATTGGAATTCCCATAGCCTTACATCCACACCTGTCCGTAATGCTTCCTTGTCACCTTCTGCTTCACGTTCCAGCCCTTTATATATGTATCATCTGATGGGAGTGTGAATTCCTCCAGGTTACTTAATGAATTTTTTAAGTTCCCTCATTGGATCTGTCTTAGTGCCACGAACACACAAGGAATTCATTTAGCAGATGCATGAATGAACAGACGAGTGGATGACTTCTTTTATTCAGATAAATCTTGACCAGGAAGGGTCCTGAATGGCACTGAATATTAATGGTAACTCACAAGTTAATTGCAAATCAGTAAATAAGTTTGAAGCTTCTGATTTGGCTGATTTTAAAGAAAAAGGTATCAGTCAACCCAGAAAGTTCTCTAAGTGCTTGCTCATAGCAGTTATATGTTTATGATTTAACAAATTAATTTCGGTGTTCATAAATTGGGTTTTTGAACTGTTGCATAGAATTATTTTTTAATAGTTTTTTGACTTTGCATTTGAAGTAGACAGAACTAAAATAATGAGTTCTTCAAGTATTAAGCTGACTTATTCTCTTGCTATTTTTGTCTTTCCCGTTTATTCATTCTCTCATTCCCCTTTCACTCCCATTTTTGTTTTTATTTTACTAATTTAGTGAAAAGGATTTGGTGAAACAGGCAAAGACCTTAAATAGTGCAGCAAATAAACTGATCCCAAAACATCATTAGGCATTTTGCATTTCGTCACCTCGCAAGTCTGATGTACAACTTAACTGTAAAGAAAGAAATCTGAAAGTTATTTCATTTAAGCTCTGATTCTACATAAAATGTCACCAAAAATCAACTCTGAATTTGTTGGACTTAAAAAACAACAACAACAACAACAACAATTTGATATCTAGGCCATGGGTTTTGTTCTTCTTCTTTATTTTCTCCCTAGAGTTAGAACATTTAGTGTAAGTTCTTAATTAATTGCCAAATAAACTTCAAGAAATTACTTTGTTGACCAATAAATACACACACCATTAAAAAAAAAAA